TTAGACACGACAACAGCACAGAAGGCTAACAGAGCACTGCACAGGAGGGAGCACACCCACTTTAGCCTGAAATGGCCAATAAATGCTATTCTGATCCGACCTCAGCTTCTCACATAGCCTAATCTGAGAGAACAGAAGGCCAAGCATGATAGGCAGATCTCACTGTAGCCCTGACCGTTTTTCTGCCTCAGGAAACGCATGATGCAAGATTTTGTGGTGAATGGAAAGATGAGGCAAAATAGAGATAGGGTTGGTAAAATGAAGGAGTCTCAACTGAGGAACAGGGCTAGCAAAGTACTTGAATTCTCGAGCTCTCCTGCGTACCAGCATGTTAAAAACTATGGATATTTTCCAGCTACTTCATAATTTTTAATGATGGTAGGAAGGAAGATCAAAAGGCTTTTTTCCCCATCCTTGATCCCTTTGATTTCTCTTTGCCTGCTCATCTGTCACTCTTCTATTCATCTCTCATCTGGGTGTTTGGCCTTTTTAGTTAATTAATAATTTCTCTCATTTTCATGTGTTGCAAAAATGGTTTAATGCTAGGCTATGACAACCATGGACTTGTACTTTCCCACAAATAATACATTGCCTTTCAAAACACTGAGAATCTCCAGAAGCATTAAAAATACACAGTCAGCCACTGAAGAAATATGGAAGCCTGAAAGCAGTGGTTATTAATTTTTGTTTTATTTTTAATCCATGGCTCAGAGCCGTTCAGTTTTAGCGCAGTATTTTTCAGAGGTATTTCCACCCTCATTTTTCATGACTGCATCCTGAGAAGGCTAAATTTAAATATAAACTCAATCCTCAAGATGCCTTTTATATTTTCCATGGTATCATTGTTTTAATTCTGTACCATTAAATGCATGGCCCAAAATTAGCAAATTATCTTGCTGCCCAGCTAAGAAAAACGTGACTGTACAATAGGAAGGCTCTGTAGCTTCTACAGAGTTATTTGTATCTGACCTCATTACTTGATTTAGCTATAGCTCTGTGATTGTGTATGTAAGAACAAGAGAACAACAGTTTGGCAAGATCTGAACTTCAAGAAAATGTCAAGCCCATTAAAGCAGACTATAAAGGGCACCCAAATGCTTCAATCTATCATTATAATTTTCATGGCTACTCAAGTTTTCCTGTCTTTGTACTGTGAAAACTTATATTCATCTTAGGCCTAGTTAGTTTGGTTTTCCATGTTTCCTCCTAATGGAGTGTGTAAAAGGTTCATAGATCCTATCATACTGCTTGCCTTTCACTTTTTAGTATCCATTTGTTCACTGATTTAGTCATAGACTTTTATCCCACTTTTTGTGATTCTCAGGTGGTAATAACAATGAAGTCAACATCAGAATATGGCAGGATCAGACTGATATGTTTGGCCAAGGGAAGAACCAATGGAGCATCACTAGCTCCAATCCAGTAGCAAAAAAATAAAACAGACTTCATCATTTGATGGTGCACCATTTATCTCTCAGATACAAGGCTTCTGTTAATAACTGAAGGCTAACAATATAGGGTTTTGATGGGAAAGTAAAAATGGAGACCGCTTACTTTAATGTAATATTTGCAAATATACACAGGCCCTCTTGGAAGCAAAAAAGCAGCCAGCACCTAGACAACCGTTTGTACTGCCTCTGCTCTTAAAGAGGATGACTGACTTTCTTTATCTTCATCTTCATTTTTTTTTCCTGCCTCAATCTCTGCTCCCATCCTCAGATTTTTCCAAGCACTGAAGGGCCTCTTTATCTAAAACTTTGAGAAAGAGTTTCCCACCTGATGAATGAACAACCAACCCATCAACCTAACCAACGAGCCATATATCCATTTAAGAAGGGAGATAGTGAGCCTCTGCAATAATATTAATTTATGAAATGCTGGCACATCCTCACTTCTTGCAAGACTGCTCAAATCTTTAATTCAATGTCATTGTAATTAAAACCCTTTGTTTAATCCATGCAATCTAGCAGCAAACAGCAGTGAGTGAATCAGTGGAGAATAACCTTTGATACCTCTTTGCAGAATTGTGATTATGCTGGTAGTAATAAATTGGATATCATATTGTGAACAAAGTCATCAGCTTTCACACATCAGTACATCATTGCTGGTGGCTAGGAAGAAGATGCAAAAAAGATATTATCCCATTTCTGCTCATAAGGCTCCAGAGCCACCTAGGAGCTGCTACCTGAAAATAGATTTGATGAACTGATCAAGCATGGCAATTCCCCTGGCTTGGATCCTAAATTGTTCCTCCATCCACATATGCATTGTGAGTTCTGGCAATCCTTCTTCCTTAGCAGTTCACACACAAACACACAGACACACCCCATGTCCATCAAAGTTCTCAGAGGTTCCCCAATCTTTAATGACTACAGAGGAAAGGAGTGCAGGAAAACCTTCTTCTGTTGGTATGAACTCTGGTTTATGTGCTTTGGAACAGTTCCCTAGTCATGAATCCCTAATCGCCCAGTCAACATTTATTTTCAAGCATCAAAAAGAATTTCAATCAACTGAGCAAATGTACATCAAGTTTGGTATTTGCCTATTGTGACTGCAGTAAGATTTATTAATGCCCAGCATGTGTTCACATTCTCATCCAAAACTGAGAGAAAATCAAGTTACATATGTCTCACCATGAAAAACAAAAGTGCGTATTTGGCAAATGTCTTCTGAAATCTGTTCCTTGCCAGAGTTTGTCTGTTTTGCTTCTGTCATTTGTTTTCTGTTTTGTTTGTTAGTCCTTTAACTGTTCCCCAATTTTCCCATCTGTTAACTTCACATTATCATATGATTTCCCATTTACTTTGCCAAAAAAGAAAAAAAATGTATACCATCAGGGATGTTTGCTCCCATTTCTTGGTAATTTATGACATCATTATTAAAGCAACATTTGCTACAGTAAGAAACAAGGTCTCGTGCTAATAAGTTGCTTCTGCTACATTTATTGCTGAGTGCATAGAGTAATAATTTTATATGGGAGGAACAAATGAATGGTCTTTATTAACAATGACCATTAAGTGAGCAGCCAGAATGAATCTAGAGATTCTCACCCTAACTACATACTTTGCTACAAAACTTTCCTCCTGCTAAACAACTTTGCTGAACTATACAACAGAACACCTCTTATCCTGCATTTCAAAAAATAACATTAGAATCCACAACGGTATATATATACTTGGGCTTTCATCTGACCATCAACACCTCCTCTGGTGCCTTTCTGTATTCTTAAAAAATAAACATCATTTATGATTGCAGCCCAGGGCTTTCTTTGCCATTCTTTCCACCTGCCTGGAAAACATCCAAAGATCCTTGGCAGTTTGTCCTCTGATAAATTGGTATTCTGAGACTGCCTTGAGTCATTTTGTCCCTTTCATTATGACAACCATTTTGTGAAAGTGCCCATTTCATACTCTCAAGATTCCAAATATGCCCCCTTAGTGCAAAAAAGCTAAAGTATCATATAAAATATTGCTTCTCAAGCTTGACATTGGCATGGCAAGGGGCATCACTACACAGCTGCCAAAGGCCCATCACTGTGGAGGCCACTCTGATGAACCCAATTTTCCAGTATCCCAGTGAGTACCAAGCAGCTACCATTGGAATTATCCACAGTTCCCCAGAATGATGTTTCATTATCCGAGTCCACTGTGATCAGTTAACTGGAAGCTGCTTGGCACCCATATCTCCTCCTTTTGTTTATTTCTACCAGGGATAATAAAGGGTGGGTCAATTAAAGAGCCCATAGTGATCAGTTAATTGTAAGGTGCTTGACCCAGTCCCTTTTCTTCTTGTTTCTACAAAGGATGAAGTGTTGATGGATAAGTCTTCTTGGTAGGACAGTGGGCAATGGAGCACAACTGGGGTGGAATTGGAGGAAAGTGAAAGAAGACCCACCCACCTTTTATCCCTGGTAGAAGTAAATTAAAGGAGAGATTAAAAACACAGAAAGTACCAACTAATTAACATTTTTGCTTTGAGAAGCAGTGAGAAATAAAAGGTTCCTCTTTCAGTGAAAATACTGTTATTTTTCCTAGGAACTTCATGTTTATTACAATAATATCAATTATCGGTATTTTAGTTCTTAGGAACCTAAATGGTATTTTCCATGCATCTACAGTCCTGGGGGAGAATTTGAAGGTTTCCCCCAAAAGAAAAGGAAAATCTAGAGGGAATCTAAAATAACAATGAGGGGTAGAATGGTTTGTCTGGAACCTTGAGTTCACATTCCTATATTTTATTGCTGAGCCCTACTTATAAATACTATGAATTCAGTTATCTGTGTGCTGGTACTTATGTAGACAAATGGCATTTGTGCAAGAAGAAAATACCAGCACTCTTGGGGAGACCACATTTTTTGCTAGCAAATAAACAAAAACTTTAGAAAGAAAATATGGCTGAAAAAGCAATATTGGGGAGAGCTCAGGGACAAACAGAAGATTCATATTACAACATTTTGATGAAGATCCCATGTTATTAAACTGCTCTCACTGTGGATGGATGGATGGATGGATGGATGGATGGATGGATGGATGGATGGATGGATGGAGAGAGAGAGAGATAGATAGATAGATAGATAGATAGATAGATAGATAGATAGATAGATAGATAGATAGATAGATAGATAGATAGATAGATGATAGGTAGGTAGGTAGGTAGGTAGGTAGGTAGATAGATAGATAGATAGATAGATAGATAGATAGATAGATAGATAGATGAATCTTGTCTGTGTTAAGGCAATAGTATATTCTTTTATTTTAACATTTAGCATTTCAGTAGACCAGACAATTTCAAATACCAGCAAAATAACAATCTGTGCCTTCACTGTTTCTTATTGTAGAAGTTAAGGGTTAGATCATGCCAGCCTAATGAATAAATGATAATAAAGTAATGGGTTGCCATGAATGTAATGAGATCAGTGTGACAATCACCCACAGGGAAGTTAAGAGCTTCACATTAATGGTACCCGGAGAGTCATTAAGGCAGTTGAGTGGATTGATTACCTTTTGTTATTCGCTGATGGCTCTGGAACTCTTTTGTGTTGCAAAGATGGAGGAGGAGAAGACTACAAGGCCAAACAGGTGGCTGGGAATGAATAATCTTTGACTACAGAAAAAGGAAAAGAGCCTAAAAGCTGGAGAAAAGCTGTTGCATGTTAAACTGTGCATTTGGTTAGGAGCCACATATGGTTGTACACTGGAAGGAAAAAAAGAAGGCAATCAATTCATATATTCTGGCTTTTGTATAATCCCTCCCTAAATCCCAAATAGCAGCATACACGGTTCACACGTATTAGAGTAGCTGTACTGAAGACAAAGTAAGCTGTTTAATAGCATTTCCAGCCCAGTACCTCTATGTGTGCTGGACTACAATTCCCATTCTCTTTATCACCATAGACATGCTGTCTAGGGATGGATGAAATCATATTCCAATGCTTTTGGAGGGTGCAGTCTCATTTACATCATTTCTTTTTAAACCAGTGGGCCTATAGTGTTCACACCCAGAGAGAGACCTACAACTCACAACATTTATCCTCTATAATACATAACCAAAATAAGAAGTCAAATTAAGCCTCCCCCAACCAAAAATAATGTGGAGAGATTTGAATCACAGAAATATATGTGGAAATAAGTCCCATTAGCAAAATAAAATTTGCCCATTGTAAGTAGAATAATTTAGTATCTCTGTAAGAAAAACATGAACTTGAGCAAAGATTTTTCTCTAGTTGCAACAAACAGTGCACATTAATTGTGCTAAAATGAACTAAAATTAAATATTTTACCAGAAGGAAGAAAGGCAGGCAGGCAGGAAGGTCGTTCTAATTAGAGTTTCTGCCATAATTTGTTACTGTGCCAGCTGCAGATGTTTGAAGGTCTTCAATGGACCCTCTTCTGAGCAAGCCACTTCTTATTCACTGCTGCTCCTGCCCTCTTTGGTGACAACCAACACCATTAGTGCTCTAGTCTAGAGGAAGAGCATAAAGCACTACTCCTTCTTCTCAGTGTGTGACATTAACTAGCCCTGATTTGTGAGCATCTCTGCTTCATAAAAGAACTCAGCAAATGAAATGGAAAACATATGCCAACATACATCCAGATGTGTTAGCCCAAGATTCATGAAACATGCTTTCCACATGTTTGAAGACACTGAAACATCACAATGTTTCTTTCAAGGACATGGGCAAATTCTATGGCTTCCTTCCTTCCTTCCTTCCTTCCTTCCTTCCTTCCTTCCTTCCTTCCTTCCTTCCTTCCTTCCTTCCTTCCTTCC